GAGAGGGAACTGCTGGCACCCTCCTCTCTGTCTATCTCCAAGTCAATGGTTTTGATACCGAGGAAGAAATCAGCAGCTTTAAATACACATCTGAGACAGACAGAAAAGTAGAGTGATTAAAGTCAGTGAGAGACTGCTTGAGCAGAAGTTGAGCAGAGACCCCAGCCCAGAGCCTCAGGGATGTTCAAGAGCCTCGCTGCTCATGATTTCACTGGGAGTTAGGTATTCAAACACCTCTAAGGACACAGGTTGTCAGAATTTGCCTCTTTACATTGCTACATAATTGGCATCAAAGGTGGGAACAACTTGCCAGCTTAGCTTGTCACATCGTCCTTCTGAAGGAGCGCGGAGGTACCGATGAGAAATGAGGATTTTCGTCAGGACTGAAATACATCGCAGACACAGTGGCAGATGGCACTGGATAAATTGAAACGGAATTGAAAAGTTCAGGGTATTTTAAAGAAGGTTCATGTAAGACTAAACAAGGTAACAGCTTAAGAAACACAGAATAGTGAAGAGAGACAAAAAAGAACTCCTATTCATCCTTCTCCTGACACAGGGAGATGCTCAATGAACTCAACAGACTATAAATATTTAGGCATTTACACTATGGTCACAACTGAATTCCGACTGGTCCCAGTACATTGGTACCTGCCCAAACACACCTGAAGCCACCGCTGCCCTGCACGGTTTGCGGTCCGAGGGTGAGGGAACACTCTCTCTGCGTTTGTTTAAATGCACAGCACTAACGAAGCGTGGACCTCGCAAGAATACACCAAAGCCAAGACCCGCGAAGGGTTAAGAAATCAAGTCTTTGGAGAGATAATGACAACACCCAAGAGTATTAGACAAGTTAGCATGAAAGAGTAGGAATAAGCCCTCGCATCTCTGGTAATTGTCCTCTGTAAGGACTCCATCACCTCTCCCCAAAGTGTTTGGTACTGGCTGTGGTCAGAGAGGTCACCATCACAGGTCTGAGACTCCACCGGTCCCCTGCTCCTCAGACATAAGCCAGGTGTGTAGCTTAACATTTCAGAAACAACCACGCTACCAAAGGAGAGTTTGGACAGCGTTTCCAAAGCTGCAGGGCCTGTCAGGCCTGCTGATAGCTCCTCATTAAAAAAAAAAGCAAAAAGAAACAAAACCCCAAGCTTTTTTCCAGGCGGTGAATGACACTAGCATGAGACCGACAACTGTCAGGATGAGGTCACCTCCGTTTCCCTTCAGAAATGAAGCTAACAAGTACAATTAACAATAACTAAAAACTCCTTTCACAAAGGGACACTATACTTTTATTATCTTTATTGAAGCCTAATCAAAAGCATCACAATGGGCTTGTTGATTATTTTTTTTTTTTAAACCAACACACAATAAAAGACAGAAAGAAACCAGCAATTAAGAACAGAAACCCAATTTTCTTAGGTGCTATAGTATTTCGGCTCAAAACACGTACTGTCCCCTGCTTCCCTAAAAGAGTAACTCACTACTTACTAGTTAGCCACGGTGAAACACAACCAAAATGCTAATTTACAAAAAAAATGCTTAATGGGTAAATAAATGTGCTCACGACACTGAAACTTATATGGGAAGTGTAAGCAATAAGCTGTAATCACAGTCAGGAGGAGTTATTGGCTTTGGGTCTAATGATTTTCTTCTGCACAGGGGCCCAGCTGCATAAAAATACCAAGCTTCTTTGCATCCCAATTTACCATTACAAATTCTGAGATGTTCACTGCAAGAATGTGAACTCGTTTATATTTCAAACTCTTTACTATTCTTATTTGTTTCACCCTATGCGTCAGAGGAAGAAAGCCCCAGTGGGCTAATCCCTAGAGATCCAGTAGCATCTGGATAGCATTTCAGCCCACCAACTCTAAATGCCTGCTGCTGGGCGAGCAGAATCGCTCTCCAGACTGCAGTGACAAATTGCATCTCCAGCAACTACAACAGGAGCTTGGATGCTTACGCCAAGCTTTAGTCGCCTAAACACAGCACCTTTGCCTCCTGTCATTTTAGGTGATGTACAGCATCTTGCCTGGCCCACATAAAACTCCCATAAAACTTGTGTTGTACCTGCCAGCCCCATGGGTATGTCCCAGGTAACCTAAGTGGTCTTAAAGGCACCAGAGACCAACGTGCAAGTGACTGAATCCTATCCTCATGCACTTGCATTAATGTATGTGCACATATACTCACAGAATCATAGAATGTTTTGGGTTGGAAGGGACCCCTAGAGGTCACCCAGCCCAACCCCCCTGCAGGAGCAGGGACACCTTGAACCAGATCAGGTTGCTCACAGCCCCGTCCAACCTGGCCTGGAATGTTCCCAGGGATGGGGCCTCCACCACCTCTCTGGGCAACCCCTTCCAGTGTTTCACCACCCTCAGTGTAAAGAATTTCTTCCTTAGATCCTGTCTACACCTACCCTGCTTCAGTTTAAAACCATCACCCCTTGCCCTGTCACCACTGGCCCTACTAAAGAGATTGTCCCCATCTTTCCTATAGGCCCCCTTTAAGTACCGAAAGGCCGCAATCAGGTCTCCCCACATATCACGCTGCCTGGTCTCGGTATCAGAGCCAAATCCCACCCATGTATTCTGCTGCACATCTACAGTGTAATACTAATTTTAAAACCCCTTTAAAACGTTTTTGTGCTGGACATTACAGGTCCCACTGCTCTTTATCAAGGAAGAGATTTTGCTATTGGTGTCTCTACCCATAGGCAGGCAGAATTGCCAGATCAGATTTACCAGCAGAGCTTTAGGCTGCAGATTAAACCTTGGCAATTGGCTTTCACCCAGGAACTTAAGTGCTTAAATCACTTCTAAAGTGTGATTACCTTTAAAACATTTACTGTTATAACCCCAAAGTGACCCTATGGTACACACGATGCACCCGAGTGCTGCCCACGGTGATCCCAGAAGCACTGCATGGGCGCACGGGTCCTCCTCACCCCAGAGCATAGCTGAACGATTTTCTTGAGCTCAAGCAAATTTTAGCACAGACGGGTAAGTCTAGGGAACTGGAAATGAGAGGGTTAAGCAGCAAGTGTGCAGGAATGGATGGGTGAGCCACGAAGGAGGGGGGTGCAGCAGCAGGAAGCCCACCTACCCACCAGCCCTGTCCCCCAGAAGCAGATGCCCACCGGACAGACGAGAGGTGCCAGCCAGCAGCCGAGAATAGCAGCGGGGCAGGCGGAAGGGAAGGAAACCACACGGTCTTAAGCAAGAGGTCAACCCAGTTTGAATGCATCAGCAGTTAAAAGTGTGGTTTTTCCGAGGGACTGAACTCCACAAATGCCTGCTGGAACCAAGGGGCAGCGCTAGAGGCTGAGGACTGAGGATGTTGTGACACGAGCACATCATCCTGTCACCACTGTTTCATATACATTTATAGCCAGGCTGTGTGTAAACAGGGAAGTCACATGGCATCCGTAGTGTCATGTAGCGACTTCCTTAGTGTCATGCAGGCTCAGAACATCGCCTTTGACATCTATTACCCTATACGGAGTCTGCAAAAATGGGAACCTTTAAGCAGCTCCTATTAACAACGCCCATCTCGGCCATCCTCCATGACTCAGGAATCTGTTTCTGGATGCTAGCGTATATTTTCCACTTCCTTTCCCTGCAGTGTACAGAACAGAAACGAATCTGAATGCTGACACAGTAAGTAGATTGATTGCAGTTATTTTATTTTTTGGACCGAGTCCCAATTTTAGTCTGATCTGGTTCTCAGATAGGAGAGTACATTGTCACGTAGTTTGTAAAAGCAGTTGTTACACTGATTTAACTAGATATGCAAGGCTGTGCATCTGCATATCAGAAAGCCAGATCGTGCACACTGCAGATGCATCAAATTTTCTCAGAATAATAAACTGGAGATTTACTGAAAACAATACAGAAATAATTTTATGGGCTTCTTCCAAACACGCAGATATAAATACAGGTCAAATTTGCAGAGTGTTCAAATTTGCATCGTCGTGTTTTAAAAGCAGTTTGACAAGAGAACATTTTATAACAGTTCAGAGAACAAGCCTGGGAGACAGCAGATTTGGACTGTGTTCTGCTACACCGCTGACCGTGGATCGTGCCAGGCTCTGGGAAAAACTCAACTTTCCACCCATTACCCAAATGACAGGTGAAATTCTCCAAGTGCTCAGCATCCAGAAGGTGTCACCACCAGCTGGAATTAAGCACATAGGTGCTGTCTGCTGCCCAGCAGTTTGAAAATCCCGTCTTTTAAAGGATGGTTATACATTTAAAATGGAAACTTATTCATCAGCAAATAGAAGCAGTACAAGCAAATATGTCTGAAGCGCACAAGAAGCTCAGAAGCTCGCTTTCCTACACACTGTAGAACCAGCAATTCCCTGTCCCTTCTCCAAAGTCATGCTAGCAGATAAATCTGCTCTTTTTCTTCCTTTTTTTGTAATACTGCATAAGCAGCAATACCTCTGTTAGAAATTTGAAGAATGAAAAGATTAAGCACCGGTTATCTCATACCATAGTTATCGCATTCTTGGACTCAATTTTATTAACTTTATTCAACAAAGAATGTAACCTTGCTAATGGAAATGGCAGTACGACAATTACTTGGACGTGTCTTGTAACGGATGTACCATTTCGAGACAGTTTTTGACAGGAATTCACACCCTGTGATATGGCTGTGACTTGGTCTGCACATACGATTGTAGACCAAGACCGTAAAGCTTTCAGGCATCTCCCAAACGATCGGAGAAAGGTCTTCAGGTCCCTTACTGAGTGTTAGTTGGTTAGTACTTCTAGTAAACGAACCGTAACGTTTTTAAGCAGACAAAATTGTTCTCTCACAAATGGATTGGTTCTACTAGATCAAGCAAGACAGCTGACTAATGAAAACTTATTTCTGGCAATAAATAATAAGCTGCTTTGAATTATTTTTTTTTTTTCAGACTAGAACTGTACACTAGCCAAGTCCATGCACAGGAGTCTCCATCCACAAACACAGTAATATGTAAAAAGAGTGCCGTGCGTCTTAATACAAAGGTGTGTGACATTATCTTCCCATTGGGAAGGACTGCAAAAATGTGATTACACACACATATTTTTAATATTAGGCAAACGAGACATCTTGCACGCAGCTACAGTCTTGGGGCAGCAATCACAATTGAAACGCATGGCTGATCATAGGGAGAAAAAGGAAAAAAAAAAAAAAGATTCAGACAAAACCACAGAATCACAAGGGATGGGTGATGTATTTTTTACCACTCTCCTTGCCCTACCCCCATTTCAGCATTTCAAATGGGTTCGGCACGCTAAAAAAATAAAAAAAAAAATCTTACTTCTCCTTTAAGCTGTCTGGTTGTTTTCCTAGAGACGCTATCTCAGCATTACACGGTCAACACAGCCAACAGCATTAATTGCTTTCTTTTTACTGAGATCAAGCGAGTGGCTCCCTTCACTTTCTCTTGAGCAAACAAACAGAGAAAGTCCGGGCAACAAGTGTATTACAAGATAGCATCTCCAGAAATAAAATCTATTTTACAACAGCAGGAAACAAATAAGGTAATATGCATAGACTTGACACAGCCTATTTCAATTTTGCGTTTAAAATGCTAGCTGAAGGGCTCAGAACTCCACGGGGCAGAACTGAAGTGAAAGAAGCCAAGCCAAAGGGATGTTATTTCTGAGCAACGCACCTTTCGACCACGTTGTTCTCAACTTTCTCTGTAGCATCTAAAATACACTGCTCCATTGCGTAATCCCAGGCCTTGATCCAAGTTAGTAAAGCTCCTCTCCTGTAGTATCTTCCTGCACCTGCCCCTACAGGTAATAAGGGATTAGAAGGATCAGAACTGCAATGTTTGTGAAACTTTTTTTTTTTTTTCTGTTCAGCAAGAAGCTCATTTCTTATTCTCAAAATGAAAGGAGTGGCTGGGCTTTAAAAAAAAAAAAAAAAAAAAAAAGGGGGGGGGGGGGGAAGAAAAACAACATAATGAAAAGGAAGCACACACCCATATGGAAAAAATAGCAAAGGATGAAGCATGCTTATTACAAATGCTTTGTAACCTTGTCACCAATAAAAACAAACAATTAATTAAACAGAAGGGAAACGTCAAGGTTTTCGTTCCTGTGTGTTCTCAGAATCTTATGACTGTTTCTTTCAATTTCTGTGATAAGTTTTAATATCAAGTGTACAGCAAACAAACTTCTAGTTAGGATCGCAACTGTAAATATTGTAACAGTGTCCGTGCAATCCCACAGACAGCAACTAAGAGCCGTGCTTTTGACACAGCCATTCAATTCCTGCAGTTCCTAAAGCACAGACAAAGCATGTGTAAACACCACCAGGATTTCTGCTTATGTAAGAAATGCAAATTTGGGTCTTTGACAGATCTACAACCTAACAGGCTTGTATTAAACATACCCACACATTCCTCTCCACCTTACTTCGCACAGTTACTACAGCATTTGAACATCAGCCAGAGACTTGCTCTGCTTTAACGGCAAGAAACATCTGCCTAAGCACAGCAAATGATTTCTGGATTTGTCTCAGGAATAAACACCAACTACTGTACGAGCTGGCTTGGCTACAGTTCAAAGCCTTACAGGAATTTTAGTTTGCAACAGGTGACCACGTTCAAGACGAGAAAGATTTCACGCATCGGGAGGGATACTTTTAAAAATTACCAATACCCCAATAGATTTTCCAGTTTTAAAAACTTCTGCCTGGCAATGAAAAAAGGAGCAAACACCACCGAGCTGGTTATTAAAACATGCTGTAACACTGGGCTGGCATCTCCTTCCCAGAACTGCTTCCAGAGCATGATGGGGGCGCAACCATCCAACTGATGCAACCGGTGCTAAAACCACCCATGCGCAACGCAACGGCAAGCGTGGGGTTAACGTGCTCCTCACAGCAGGCTGCTCTGTACCAGGTCTCCATCCTGCTGTTAACCAGCTGCAGACAAAGCAATGCAGTTTTCATCAAAAAGTAGGTCCAGAAAGGCAAAACTCTCACCTTACTTAGCTACTGCCTGCAAAGAGCTGCAGGCCCTGGTCTCTAGTAGGATTTTCCGGTGCAACACGGCGTATTAGTTATTCCTTAGTAAATACACACCTTTTCAGCAGCTAAGATAAAGCCTGTAACTTCCTGCAGTAGTCATTCACCTCTGTTTGGGCTTCAAAAGGACTTGTTCTATTACAATAAATATTGCAAATGTACCGTGCACAACTTAATGTAACTTAACAGGATAGTAGAGCCACTACCTTTAACAATAGCCCAACTGTACCCGACTAGAGAGAGGTCACAGCTAGGGTTGTAACTCTGCCATAGTAAATTAAAACCAGTTACAAATTAGTCATGGTGAACTATGTCCAGCCTTACAGCAGTTGTAGTGAAAGATCCTAACGAAAGCCTAGTCAGTCAAGGTTCAAGAATGACTTAAAATGACTTTACCTTCACGTCTCATTCATTAAAATGGAAGGATCTTCAACTTTAGGAGATTTATCTTTACGCTGATGTGCTCTGCATTTGTAATTCCAGCATATCCATCATCTTTGTATCCTTTTGGGAGGTAACTCCTTCCACCTGCAGCTCTTGGGTCATTGCAGCTCTTGGGAATAACCACTACAAACTGCCATGCTCCAGACAAAGTCTCTGTTGTCCTTCACTTGCTTTCTTGGTTAATTTGTTAGAGCCAAAAACCCCAGCAAATAATGATTACGGTCTTACATATGTCTGCAGGAACACTGGCAAAATGCAACCATCTGACCAAGGTGGAGGTTACTCTTTACTGCGTGCACAGCCAGAGTGAAGTTTAGGCAGAGTGAATGACATGCCATCCACGCGAGCTGGACGCAGGCCGGTGGAAAGCAGCCGAGGTCGCGAGGGTCTGCCTGCTCACCTGCACACCCCCCGGTCCCCGGTCCTCTCTGCACGTCTTGAGGGGAGTGGCTGTTACCAGTCTTTCCGGTAGCATCACAGAGTTGCCCCATAACACCGTTCCAACTTTTTTGCTACATACCTACCCATCGACTCACCCACTCCTACCTCCTCTCTCACTTGCCAGTCTAATTACCCGCCCACCCACATTTTCTCTTACTCAATCAGTAACCCACCCATTTACATGTTTTTCATTCATCTCCCCGTACACTTACACAACCTGATCCTCAAACACCTTCAATCCACTCGCTAACAGTAATTTTACCTCCTATGATACACGCGTCCTTGCTTCTCTCATCAACACCCCTACCCCGCATCAAGCTTCCCGGTGGCTTCAAGAAGACAGCTTACGGTCCCAAGCTCCCCAGGCCTGTGAGGTCGCGCTCTTGGCGCCACACCAACGCTAACCCCCTCTTGGGATCCCTTCTGAATGAGTCAAATGCTTTCTTCCAACATGATGTGGATGGATGGTGGGGATGGGGACCGCGCAGCCTTCGCCAGCTTCCAGGCGCGCTGTGCCACCGGCGGGCACACAATGCACGCCCTTGCTTCCACCCTACAAAAAACCTCTACTTGGAGGCTTCCAACACAACCCTCTCATCCTTTGGGGTGCTCTGATAGGAAAAACTGCAGTAATGCTTCAGAAACCAGAGGAGGCCTGGGGCAAAGGTGCTGGATGGTGACCATAGGCAGCTCCGAAGGGACGGGCTCGGGCCAGCGTGGCCATGGGCCAACTCGCACCAACCAGCCTACCCCTCGTGGGGTGACAGCAAAAACAATGCCCGTTTGTCCTCCTCATACCCACGGAGTATTTGTTTTGGGGGAATATTGATCTAGCTCTTTGCGGTCAAGACAAGGGAAAACTTTAGAGATAACCCTGCTTGGGAGCACAAGGCTTCTGGTAGTGAAGACCAAGCCCTGAAGAACAAACAAGCAACCCCCGAACGCCACCAAAACAAGTGAAGCTATAAAAAGAAACAATAGTCATGAACTGAAGCAGCTTTGAGAAAAAGAGAGGATAATAGAAAGCTGGGGGACAACGACGACACACACCTCAAAATACATTACAACTTCCACTATTGGAAAATATTCCACTATTCACTAATGGAAAACTAATTTTTTCATTTTCCCTGTAATGCCCGCTGCAGACTTGCCTGCACACATCGCTTCCCTGCCGTTGAAATGCCACAACAGAGAGAGGGGGAAAAAAAAAAGAAAAGGAAAAAAAAAAAATCACTTAAGTTAACTGGCATAACTCTCCCATAGAAAAACATTTTCATTTCTGAGTAAAATTGGCCTTTTCAGGTAATTTTCAACAATTTCTCAAGTGAGTCCAGAACAGACCACTTTGATACTGGAATAGAATATGCGCCTGAGGGATTATACTATTCGTAGTTCAGTTTAAACCCTACCGTGAGAGACAAACAAAAAAAGAGGGGGGAAAAAAAAAAAAAAAAAAAAAAAAAAAAAAAAAATCACTTAAGTTAACTGGCATAACTCTCCCATAGAAAAACATTTTCATTTCTGAGTAAAGTTGGCCTTTTCAGGTAATTTTCAACAATTTCTCAAGTGACACCAGAACAGACCACTTTTATACTGGAATAGAATATGCGCCTGAGGGATTATACTATTCGTAGTTCAGTTTAAACCCTACCTTTAATCAGTGTAATTTTCCCAAATCCTGAAATACTGAACATGCAGCACTTAAACCTTAAGTTCCACATCTAATATTCAAGAGCACGTAATAATATTCCGAGCATATTTACAGGCTGTTAACACCACAGAGAGAAGCAGTACTGAAAGATGAGAACATAGACTTGAAGTAGTATGGTGAAACAAAGAAATGGAAAAATTCAGGCCAACTAGCAGGCAAAGAAAAATCTCGCCATCAAACTTTGTGGAAAAGACTCCAGAAGATCGAAGTGGAAGGCCAAGTTCTTAAGAGTATCTCTAGCCATAAACCGCAGGGAAAAAAAAAAAAAAAAAAAAAAAAAAAAAAAAGTAGCAGAAAACATGTACTGGCAAGAGGATGGTCTGGATGATCTAATGCGCTTTCCATCTCTAACATCTATGATTCTGTAATTCCATAGGAGCGCTTAGCAGAGGGCTGGCAAACTTCCGTAGCAACTCAATTGTCTGATTATTGTGTGATAATCAAAGTGTTCAATTAAAAGGAGGTCCTTGTAGCTGGATGCTGTAGCTATGCCATGCCACTCTCGTTCGAAGTTGTGCGTTATGGTGCCAGTAGAGAGCCTGATCTGAATGGCAGGGTGTGCAGTAATTACAGAGTTGTGGGTAGCTCTCCTAAATAGGCAAAACAGAATTTATGTAATTAAAGAGACAATCATCATCTTTCTTGCAAAATGCCCGGGGTCATCTTTTGACAGCGGATTTGATAATACAGCGTTCGACTTTGTCAACATTTATGCATGCAAATAACTTCACTCGTACATGCAAGTGCTAGTGTGGTTGGATCTATACTATACAGCATTTTTAACTATTTACTCTTGATTTGTGCGCTGAGAAAATCCTCCCTTAGGGTAAAATACCAGATTGTTTCTCTGATCACATGCTTTGTTTGCTATTTTCAAGTTATTAGGTAAGCGCACATGCAGAGAGAAGAAAGTGCAAGAGGATGTATGGCATGAGCACACCTTTTATGTTTAAAGCATGTCTATGAGAAAAATGGATTATAGCAATAAATTTAAGAATCAGGAAGATTAAGAGCAAAATGCAGAAGTGGCGAAAAAAGTCCGAAGCAGAGTTAGAATCATAGAATCGCTTGGAAAAGACCTTTGAGATCATCGAGTCCAACCTTTAACCTAACCCTGCCATCCCACCACTAAACCCTGTCCCTAAGCACCTCATCTATCCTTCTTTTAAATACCTCCAGGGATGGGGACTCGACCACCTCCCTGGGCAGCCCATTCCAGAGCCTGACAACCCTTTCGGTGAAGAAGTTTTTCCTAATGTCTAGCAGAAGAGCAATTTGCGATGCCGTTCAAAAAAAATGCTAAATCGATTAATGCCATGAGCCTATCAGGCTCTATACCTGTTCTTTCCATACTATTTATTTACATTGATGACTAGAAATTTTAGTAAGGGATGGGCTCCTCTTTGCCACCATACAGTGTTATTAACCTCTCGAGTACTTAGGCTCTGAACAGAAAATGGAAGTACAAAAGGAGTACATTGACTACACAGTGTACATTGGATGCTCCAGTGAAATCCAGACACCTAAAATCCCGATGCCAAAGGAGAACAAGGAAGACTTAAAAAAAAAAAAAAAAAAAAAAAAAAAAAAAAAAAAAAAAAAAAAAAAAAAATCAATGGATTGCTTATTTCGGAGAACAAGGTTAACTTAGCTCTCGCTTGAGCTCCGCCGTGATTAATAGACAGGGAAGGTGCAGTTTTCTGAACAGGTTGAACCGAGCTTCATGCAGGTGTCACTGAAAGGGACAGTCCCACCTTCTCCTTTGCTTCTGGCCACCAGTTCCTGCTACTTCCCCATTAGCACGAGCAGTCACGCAGCTATGCAATGAGTTGGATCAGTGCCAATTTTCCCAAAAGACAAGAAAGGGAGACTAAGAGACCTAGGTTTCAACCAGATCAGCACATTGAGCTGGCTCACGCCAAGGCCACATGGCCATCGGCCATGACCGTGGAAGCAGCTAACCTTGAAACTGTGCGTGAAAGCTGCAGAGCAGTTCGATTAATTAGGCACATGCTGGTCACACTAAAACAACATCAGCTGCAAGACAACACGCAACAATCACGGTAATCCAAAAACATGTCCATGGAAGAGAATATTGTCACCTTTAAATAGTAACCCAATGGTTAAGAGCTCACCTGGGAAGCTGGGCACTTTCCCCCCTGCAGATCCCACCTCCTACAAAGTCCTCGAACCAGCAGACTTCAAGCAGACCTAGGGCTGAGGCTGCTTTCTGCCCTCCCGCTGGAGCTGGGCCAGCGCAGAGAGGAATTGAAAATTCACAAAGCCATAAAGAGAAAGCACTGGAGGGTAAGTATGACTCCATGAGGAAGAGACTCCCAGGAGAAGGGATAGAGGCCTATATTCCGGTCTCTTCTCCAGGAATTGCTCATGCCTACTGCACTGAAGATTAGATAAAATGTATATACACAGCTCCTTTTATACTAAAGCTTAAAAAATACATCCTATGAGCTATGTAAATACGCTTAAGAGCCAGTGAGAGCTCTGCCCTAACAGGAGAACAGCATATACCTACCTGTACTCTTGGACATATTTTTATTTTTGGTGGATAAAAGTAAATCAAAGAGCAAAGCCGAGATCTTCACGGTTATGACTCACTTCTGCCAACCTCATGTTTTGGCAATAAAACTGCATACACTCTCTCAGAGCAGCCTGTAATAACAGGTCATATATGGGGAATTTCAGTAGTCGCTTAGGTCCGTGAAGATACAACTCAGGTGCCCTAACTTTGATTAGAAGTCAAGAACGCCTGCTGGCTTCCATTCACCGCACCAGTGGAGCCCTCAAGTCACAACGCGGCACAGCAGTACTGCCTAGAGGTGGCCCAGTTTGCCAGCAGACAAGCAAAGCAAGGGAATTAAGTCACCAGAGATGACTGCACACAACTCTACCCTGAAAACACACAGATAAACGTGGTGTCTATTCATACCACACGTTGCTGTTTTGAAGTGTTGGCATTACCACTCCCGTAGAGCAATGGAAGAGGAAGGGTTCCTCTTTTCCAGGTCCAATTTTGAGCTCGCCATTTTGCAGGCCAACTTCAAGCTGCAAACTCTGCATTTGCATAGCTATGGGCCATAAAGAACTTCACTCGAAAAATTTACAAAACAAACAGCAAGAAAAAGCCAACAAATTCTATCTCGTCTGTGAACCTTCACAGGGGAATCCCTCAGATATCAGCACAAATAAACGCTATCAAGACACCACACAGTCCTAAACCATCAAATACTGTGTTGGCTTAGTAGAAGACATCATACTGCAACACTTTTGCGTCTCATTTCAGATTGTGCCAAGTGCTTTCCCTATATGCAATTTATGACTTGTGTTTTAAAAAGCTACTGTTTATGACAAAGGGGGTTTCTTTTGTTGTTTTATTGTTTGTTGTTTTATAAAATCAAGTCTTTCACTAAGATAAATAACATCCAAGGAAACATCCATGGAAACATTCAAGGCCAGGTTGGACGGGGCTGTGAGCAACCTGATCTGGTTAAAGGTGTCCCTGCTCCCTGCAGGGGGGTTGGGCTGGGTGACATCTAGGGGTCCCTTCCAACCCAAACCATTCTATAATTCTATAATAAGCAGTATACTGTGTCAGAAAGTGCTGTTAAACCTGCCGCCATGTGCTACGCCTTGGTTTTTTTTTTTTGGTCAAGATAATCACCAGAAGCATGGAAAAATGTAACCTCTGCACCACGTATTTTAGATTTTATCATGTTAGGTGACCTTCTAAAAGCCACAAGGAAATGGAGATACTATGAACATACATGTAAAAAACCCCAGGATTCAAAATACGATTTTTTTTCAGTTATTTTGGGCATGAACCATCCCCGTGCACTACGTCAATGCTAACGGCCCACTCCCCAAAACAGGTGATTTTCCAGAGCAGCAATTCCCCTGTCCCACATGGATACATGACAACAAGTTGAAGATCTAAGACTCCTCCTCCTCAAACAGGGCCTACTTGTGATTTCTTAGTAAATGAAACTGCTCCAGTGTTAAGCCTGAGGAAATTTGATCCACCGCTTTAATACAGGTTTAACAGTTAACAATTTAGGGGCTATAAAAATTCACAGCTTCCTTTCCTTTTATCTGAAATGATAAGAACACAATGGGGTTTTTGTTTTTTGTTGCTTTTTTTTTTTTTAAATAAAGTCTCTCCTGAGAACATTTTGATAAGCTTACGGTTAAATAAATGATTTTCTTAAGATATGCAGTTAATTCACAAAAATACTTGGCAAAAATCTAACTTTGAATATCTAATTCATATAACATTCTCCTTTATTTGTTTAATTCAAGTAAAATATTTTCCTCCGCCCTTTCCTTTTCATAGGCTTTTCACACCCACATAACAACCAAGTGACTCTTCCCTGACCCTGCCTCCCACGCTTTTCGGTACAACTGCTCGCTAGAAAGTCACCCCGCGCTTGAGCTCCTCTCCCAAGATCCAAAGGAAGCACTTACAATGCTAAACCCTTTTTTTTTTTTCCTTTTCTTTTAAACTGCTGGGTTTATTTGCGGTTCCGTAGGGATGTACTGCCCTCTTGGTTGCTGTTTTGGAAAAGAGGGAAAAAAATATCCGCGAGCGCCTCGCTACAACTGCTGACTCAAGGGGGTTTGGGAACGCGAGGCGTCCCGGTATCACCCACCCAGGGCTCAACAGTAGCAGTGAATTCCTCCCTTGGCAGTGGGTGGTTCGGACACAGCACCAGCAATTCCCTCAGCTGGTGTCTGGAGGGGACCTGTCACACAGCAGGATAAATTCAGTAATCACTCTTCTCCTTTCCCCATAGAATCATAGAGTGTTTTGGGTTGGAAGGGACCCCTAGAGGTCATCTAGTCCAACCCCCCTGCAGGGAGCAGGGACATCGCTAACTAGATAAGGTTCAGAGATAACTAGATAAGGCTCAGAGCCCCATCCAACCTGCTCTTCTAATGATCTATGCATTCAAAATAATATTCTGGAAATCCAAGAGCTACAGTATCACGTATCAGCATCCTCCCTAAAAGATGCTGGTAAAGCACTGAAAGAGAAGTTAAATAACACTATCCTCATTTGATCAGCAACTAAGAATAAATAACGACTTGCCCAAGAAGGCCCCCCTCCAAAAAATCCCTCCCAAAACCAGTGGCAGGGTTGACAGCAGGTTCAGGGAGCATGACTTCCAGACCCAGCTCCGTCAGCCAACGTGATTTCTTCCAGCTAACAGTATGTTAATGATATGGGGCTTTTTGAGAAACCACTAATTGATATCTTTTTTCCTTGGGATTTACAGAGCCACTTAAAAATAACATCATTTCTATAACAGGCATATTTTAGGAAAAGTATCATTAAATTTCATTCTGGGGATGGACATCTGATTTTCATGTGACATTCAAGAAGACCGAAGCCTTGTTCATTCAGTGAAATGTAACAGGAAAATTACAGCGTAGCCATGACTCCGGGATGACAGGATCCCAAAGCTGGAGGGCTGGCCCATCCTCTTTTGCTTAGTACCAACGTCAGCAGAGGTTTGTAGGTTAAAGGTGGGAGGGAACACCAATTTCCAATTGTTTTTGTCAAACTGATCGACAAAGTTTCCCCCCTTATTATTTACAGACTCTTAAACTGCGGCAGGCCAGCTAGGGTTTTCTGTAAAAGCTGCTCCAGTGAAAAAATAAAAACCTAATACACCTTGCCACGTTGAAAAAGCTGTTGGAGAGCTTTCTTTCAATTACATTTAGCAAGATACCATCTCAGCCCTGAAAATGAGAAGTACATAAACTTACCAATGCATTATCGGGAGAAGCATCAGAAAGAAAGTTTAGGTGTAATTCAGTAGTCAGCACCTCAGCTCCTTCCTGGCACAAAATAAATCCCACAGGCAGCAGGTACTAGAACCGTCTCTCCTTTGCTAGGCATACCCGTAACGCTCGCAGACGTCTTCTGAATCTGCCACCAACAAAAGAAACCACAGTAAGACTGCTTCCCTAATGCTTCATAACTGAGTCAGTAGGTCAACAATTCCTTCGGTTTAGGAGCCAGACCAATTCCCTTAAACACCCCTCTTTTTTTTTTTTTTTTTTCTGATGGAAAAGCCAACTGTCTCCTGCCAGTGGCAGCCCATCTGCTTCCAGAACAGAACCAAGCAGCTCCAAACCACCACCTCCTTTTGGCGCAGACATCCATCCTGACGCAACTCCATTTTGTCTCTCACGTCTGGGAAAAACCAGGAGAAAATACTTACAATTGAAAGACAGTCAGGAAACTGCTCCTTGTGCACCTTGCAGGCTGCTGCCAAGCCCTCAGCCCACGTCCTCGCTTCCCATCCCCGAGACGGAGCGGCACGGAGAAGGGCACTTCACGTAATACCAGACCTATCCCCAGCCTGCCTCGTTCCATGCAAGCACAGAATATCCTGCGTGTGCATTTCAGGCGCACTGCTCGAACAAAGAGAAAGCTCTGAAGCTGCTATCCCTCTTCCCGATCCATGACTCAAAACGTCTGGTTGAAAATTGGTTTCGTAATAACCCTTTAGTACCACCTACTCACATCACAGAGTGATTCTTGCAGCAAATGCACAGGAAATCACCAATGAGTGCCAGTGGAGCTACTATTCCAAGAACTAGCTCTTTCGGTTATTCCTTCATCATTTGGAAACTGAGATGCTTTTACTTTTCCTATCGCACAGGATGTATTTTTTTTTTTTGCTTTGTTTTAAGAAGAGCTTTTAACTATGATCCTGTAAAATACTTTGCTGATAAATCACCAGCTGAAAACTTGCCCACTGTAAAAAAAAAAAAAAAAATTTCACAATACTCATTCCAGAAAATACAGTAACTCCTTTCTGGAAATAACTCACTGGACAAAAATCAAAAGGGCAGAATTAATGTTCAGAGACAGTTTGCATCCTGCAGAGCACACAAAGCCGGTGTAGTCAGCCACGTGCCTTTCTGACCACCAACAGCAGACCCCTGACTCACCCAACCACAAGATGAGTCGCTATGAATGATTTCCTCTTCTTCCACACTCCCCTGGGGTGCTCTGTGCCACCGGCACATCCTGAGCCTAATCCTGACTTTGATGGAAATTCCAAAACTCATCTCGTCAGGCTGTGGCCACCAGCTAACGATGCAGCCATCTGCTAGCTCCTGCTTTGAGTCACCTGTCAGCAATACAAAAGGAAATTACTCAGCAGCAAGCACGTGGAAGCCCACTGCTAAGAGTCTCTCGCGTCCCCCTTATAGGATATACAAAATTCTGGAGCGCTCCCCGTCAACCCTGAAGGAAAAGCGTTATGTTCTGTAGCACTAACGTTCAAAAAGGTGGAACCTGATTTGAAAAAAATAAAATTGAATATGACAGGACCGCAGACAGAGAGCGTTTCGGCTGGGCTTTCAGTGCCAGCGTCACTGAAGCTGCCATGGAAGGGGGGGCAAAAAAAAAAAAAAAAAAAAAAAAAAAAAAAAAAGACGACATTTCACAAACACTAGACCTTCACTGTGCGTGACAAGAAAAATAATTAAAACAACTGAGAGAACTAATCTGTGGCTGCTTAGGAAGTTAACTCTTCGAAGGAAGCGATTAAGTAAGAGAACAAAAGCAAAGTGTTATGTTTATCAAACAAGTAGACTTAACACATGAGAGTGCTTACTCATGTAAGTAAAGACTGAGTACTGTCACAGCCGTCCCGGCAAGCATAGGTTCACATGGGGCTGGGATCTTACTGAGTACCAAGCGGTTATTATTTCAAAGAAATAAATCTTTTAAGACATACGAAGCCCTGCTTTGCCAAAACGCCAAACGCTATCAGGAAGGCAGCCACAAAGTCCTGTGCCTCTTTACGGAATTCCCTGCATCTAACTGCTATTCAGGACAAAATTCACAGGGATTTTCCTGAGAAGACCTGATTAACCGCGCCATTATTTACAAATTCAGTCCAGCAACTGTCATATTTTTTTTTTTTTGTTTCATCACAAATTACGCAGCTCACAGATTCAGCCCTCCCAAACAAGGCTCCCAACTTCTCCCCCGAAACAGCAGACGAACAGAAGACAGTCACGATACACGACACTTCCAATCTTCAGGAATTTCACAAAAATTAATTCATGCTACAGATCTAATTGTCTAACCTGCTTCTGCATGCAGAAAGAGCCAGACCTGGTGCCTCTACAGTGGGGGAGGGCGGCACTTCTTGTTCCTGTTTCAGACTTGACTTTTTTCCCTGCGCGGAAGATGATCTAATTATTCAACATGTCAGTATATTGCTTCACCCTTTCTCATGTGTCTCCTTACATTAACATATTTTAACAATTCAGCTCATTAGGAACGAGGCGAGGAACAAAACGGCAAATTGTCCTTAAAAAAAAAAAAAAAAAACCAAAAACCCAAACCCCACGTCACAAAGGGAGGGGTCATTCCACGTTTTATCCTGTACCTATCCAAAACTCTACGAGAGCACGCAACCAACGACGCCGAATGTAAACCAGCAACAAAGCTCCCTAAACCCAAACCTCGCGACTGCTCGGATGGAAGCGTACCTGTTCGAGCCACAAGCCCGATCGGCGAGCTCTGTGAAGGATTAATTTTGGGTCCTGCCTGATCGGGAAGGGAAAGGAACTCCCAACTGACAGCCCTTTATTGTTCCCAAACGTGCTGATGCTCAGCTGCAGGCACTATCGGTGAGAGGGGGCTGACGGATCTCATGTATAATAATTGGGCATGGGTGATGAAAGCGAGGGATCAAACCATAATAAGGCTGCTAACCCATCGACTTGAAATGGATCTGAAAACCCCTGAAATCCAAATATAACGTGTACGGCACCTGCATTTGCATACGTAGGATGCCAGCCGAAGTTTCCGAGCCTTTTTATCAAATGCTTTTTGTACAGCAAAGAGCCATTCAGTGCCCAGCCCTTTCAGCAGATAAGGATTTGAGAGATGTTCTTCTGTTTTAAACCTTGTGTGGAATTACAACAACAGGTTTGCCCGTGAATTGGCTTGGGCAGGGTCCCCGTGGCATATATTAAACCCACCGGTTATTAGGAAACATTTCTTCAGCAAGGTTTGTGTATAATAGCAGGTCCTATATATAAACCTGTTTACGACTATGTCTAAAGAAGAGCTCGTTCTGAAGCAGCTCCCTTATTGTGATTGAACACGCTGGATTCGTTCCCAGTTAAGGCTTATATAAGGCCTTCAAGGAAGTAGAAACTTATTTTCTACAAAATCGAGCCAGTATAGTAGTAGGTGCAACGGAATTATCCTGTTACACATTAAGTTTTACTAATAAAAGACCCGCACTGCAGTCATAAAGTCAAATGCTGCATCCCACTAGTACAAACAACCAAATATTTCCTGCCATAAAATCAAAACCTACTCAGCCAAAAGAAAGATGACAGGTAAAAAGTATCTGCTTTTTTGGTATAAAAGCCATCACGTTCCTTCAAAGAAAAATCATGTAGTAGCTGGAATGCCGTATCTTCACGCCCTGCCTGAACCTGATTTAACTTTGGTTTAAAAAACCCAACAGAAGAACAAACAACACCCGCTCAGAAGACAACAATTTTCAAATGCATGACATAAACTTTCTCAGTGCTGGTTTTTTTACAAGTTATCTTGTTGGTATTTTTATTCTTCCGAACAAATCACTCCACTGGCAAGGTAGGTCCTCTCTGGCTAATAAATAACACAGCTTTCTGAACCGTGGTCCGCAGTACCTCCGCGTTAATTTATTCCCGTGGCCCCTTGTTGCAGGAGGGAGCACGCCCAGGCGTGCGTGCAGGGATGGCTCGCCCCGCGCAGGGATGGCTCGCTCGCTCCAGAAACCCCTCCGAGGGTGCAGCACGGGTCAGCCCACACCAAGGTTTGCTCCTACAGCCTCTCACAGGCCTGACACCGCTCCAGCAAGATCTTTGCTTCCCAGGACCACCAGATGCTGTCGAGCCACACCAAACTCGAAATCAGATTTTAGGACCAAAAACTGGGTATGTGATCAGTTCTTAAAACTCAAGCTCTTGCTAGCCTGGGAATAAAACCACCAAATTGGTACACCGTAGCATCAGGCTGATCTTCCTTCAGGCTCTTTAAAATAAAAATTAAAAAAAAAAAAACAAACCAAACAAAACCAAAACCCAAAAAACCCCCACCCCACTAAACAAAAATGAAGGAAATGTCCCATTTTGTGCTGCCACGCAGAGGCGGTTCAAGGACTAAATCACCTGCAAACTAAACCACCTCTTGCTTAAGATTAAAATGGTTTTGGTCTGACCTTGTAGGGACCTCAGCCCCACCTTTCAGCGGGGTCCACAATACAGCACCGAGGTTCAGCACAAAGCACGACACTGAAGTTTTCTTTGGAGAAGATGGTCAGAGATGCTACTCATCCTTCCGCATCTTCCTGTGGCCAAGTCTCTTACCTGGGAAGTGGGAGACTCACCTTCTGCTTTCTCCTCCCATCCCCGCAAGCCTAGCAGCGTGCGGCAATTTTGGTACTACACGTTGACGAGCTGAGTGGCGACCTCTCACCCTTCCTTCTGAATCACGCCGCCGCTCGCAAAGACATAAAGGATTCAGAGGGAGAGAATATTCAAGAGCAGCTTGACCCTGACCCTGCAGAGAAAAGGACTTCTCTGGGCATTTGGAAGTTTAGGTTTCGATTTCTTTTCTTAACTCTCTTTCTGCATTTTATCTAAGCTGTATAAGCAAGACCTCAAGTCAGGACAGCTACACTTCCAGCATTTAATACTGGCACACTTTTTTCCTTCCCCGCTTAGCTTGCTGGCAATTCGTCAATGTTTAACTCTTCTTATTCCTTCTACAGGCATCTTCCGTATTATTTTAAGTTTGTAATTCCAGTGTTGGCGATTTCAGGGTTTTTTTAGATTTCGTCTTGCAGGCTTGCAAACAAGCAGCGTGCACAAAGAAAGCCTGGAGCTGCAGGAGCTGATAGGAACGGCTGAATTCCGACCCTGGCACAAAAAGGATGACTCGAGGGGCGTGCGAGGCCGTACAGAATCGCTCTCCGGACTTGACTCTAGTAGCTACAACAGACGGATCACATAATCCAATCCAAATAGCAAGCAAGTTTCTTGGTAATAAGAGAAAAGGACACGATGACCTCTAGGTAAAAATCCTAGGAACAGCAAGCACACATAAACATCAACCTGAGCAACTTCAATTCTGAGCCAGAGCTTGAACTGGAAAGAACAGTAAAGACAAACACCCAAGACAGATTTAATTCAGACTGTAATTCACTGCATACGCATGCCAAATCGTGGTATAAACCTCCTGCCTTTTAACACTCCCCATTGTACGGCCTATTCTTATCTTGGCAATTAATGTAGGTTTTCAGCAAGATTTTGGATCCTTTTGTGATTTTGGTGCAGCCTTCTTTAGCAGAGAAGCAGCTGGAAGTCCTGCAGGTGGAATATGTCCTGGTACTGATCTGCAAACGCAGGGCATCTCATGATGGGGCTGTGTTGATGAATTATTGCACAGCTACAGACAGGCACGTTACTGCTGCCTCCCACTCCCCAAAACAAAGGTGTTTTAGCCTTAGGTTTACTTGAAAAGTGCAGTCAGTTCCTCAAAGGGGAGGCAACACCAGCACAAATTCTGTTTTCTTGGTATGAAGGCACAGACCTCGAGTTACCATGTACCTTATACTGAGAGGATAAAAATTCCCCTGTTCCTCCTGATTAAAAAATCCTTGAACAGCTCAGTTCCCCAGCACTCAGAAAACTGACAGGGTAGCAGGGGCCATAAATATTCATTTTCTGCCCCAAATAAAGGAGCATCTTGGAAATAACGAGTATTGGGAAGGGGTGGATTTGGGGAGGGGACTTCCTGTCTTTTGAGCGCTCCTAGTTTACACCACTAGATGGCACGTTTGAAACTCTTGGCATCTCGGTGAAATCCCAGCGAAGTCTTTGCTCTGCACCACACCATGTTGATCCTGCCAGCCTCGCCTGGGATGGGAACGTACAGGTAAAATGGTATCTTAAGAGCCAAAGAACAGCGATATGAGGACAACAGCATGTAAAAATGTGCCCGAGCAGGAAGGCAAGGCAAGTCAGCGACCTGAGAGCGGGGCTGCAGGGCATCCTGAGCTCCAGCACTTCTAACCGCGGTCCTGGCGCAGCCTGGGTAACGACAACA